AAAAGGAGTAGGAAAGGGGTATGTGAGGTGCTGTGCTGCTGGGGAGAGAATCCCAAATCCTCTGTGCTACTTACTTGGGGGGGAGGGAGGGGGGCGCGCAGAGGCAGAAGGAACTTGGAGGGGGGCAGTAGTGGTCTCTCTCATTGCTGGCTGGGTTATGGTCCAGCGCAGCGATACCTGTCCTGCTGAGTCTGCGAGGAGCTGCCCTCACCTCCCACTGATTTCAGCTGGGAATGAATTAGGATGAGTGAATGTGGATGGCTGGGAAGCAGGGCAGGAACGTGGGGGGGAAAGGGTTAGGGGCATACACCTTGGCTATGTCTGCTGCTGCTGGTGCCCCCTCCTCATGCCCCGATCTCTCCGTTCCTCTCCCCTTGCTTTGCTGCTGCAGGCATGGATAACTTCGAGTACAGCATCCAGCTGAGTGACAAGGACTGGGCTGAGTTCTTCTTGGCGTCAGAGGAATGCAACCTAGCGCCGGTCGCCCTGGCCACGGCCGAGGAGCAGTGTCTCAGTGACATTGAACAAGGGGACGGCGTGCTGGGGAGGGACTGCCGCGCCAGCACAAACGGGCAGATTGCGGCGAGGGTGGGCAGCAGGCCAGGGCCTGGCACGGGAAGCTCTGCCCCACGTGGGGTGCCTGGAGACGCCTCCCTGTGCTGGCCCGCCGGTGGGCACCTTGCCCTGCCGGAGCTTCTCTCGGGCAGCGAGGACGAAGCGGACCTGGGCTCGGTCGGCAGGTTTCTGTGCGAGAGCGACAAGCCCGGCTGCCCTTCCTACGCTCCAATGCCCAGCGCACAGGGGAGGCAGCCCCCTTGTCCCCCTGCAGCCACCCTTGCCGGCCCAGCTGGCAGCACAGCCGAGAGCAGCCCAGGGCAGGACACAGCATGTGAAGCAGCAGCACCGCAGAGGGCATCGGCATCGGAGAAAGGAGCAGCCAGCGGCAGTCAGGCCATGGAGCCTCCCAGCCACCCAGCTGGAACAAGCGTCCCTGAACAGCGAGGGTATGCAGGAGGGGAACAGCCCCATGGCAGTCCGGTGGCAGCACAGCTGGGGGCTCCGGTGCAGGGCAGCTTGGCAGCACCGGCTGCCTCCCTGGAGGGTTCATCAAGGAAGAGTCCTAGAAGCGCTTCCCGCTCGAGGGGCGCGGGGAGGGCGCGGGTGCCGAGCCGAGCTCCCCGGCTGGCTCCCCGGACGTCGTGAGGCCCAAGGTGCCAGGACAGCTGAGAAAGAGTCGCAAGCAACGTGGAGCCAGTGCTTCCGAGGCAGCCCAGGGGGACAGGGAGCCTGTGGGTGCTGTGGCACAGGGGACTGGGATACCCTCAAAGGCACCTTTAAGCTCGCCACTGTCCTCACGAAGGAGCAAAGGGAAGGAGAAGGCAGCCAAGCCAGCTCCTGTGAAGGTGGGGAGCGAGGAGGCAGGGGAGAGCAAACGGCCGGTGCCCAGCCCTGGCATAGACGAGGGCGATCCAGCCGTGAGCACTCTGCCAAAGCAGAAGGTGAAGGAGCCAGGGGCACAGCCCCTGGGGAAGGTGAAGGCCACCAAGCATTCAAAGCCAGGGCAGGCTGGTGGCTTGGGCGTACGTGACAATGTGCCAGTGATCCCTGCCGGTGGAGCCGTGGCTCCTTCGGGAGAGGCATGCCAAGAGGCACTGGGGAAGCCTCTCCATCCCAAGACCGTGGCAGCTTTTATAGGGGATGATGCTGGGGGAGCTCGTGGGGAGCCTGCAGCTGAGACCCCTGGGGAGCTGGGCCCCCCTTGCTTTGCAGCTGGGGCCTCTGCGAGGGCAGACACCCTGGACGTGACTTGGCCTGAGATGTACGACTATTTGTTCTGTGACTCCCAAGGGGAAGAAGAAGGAATGGGCAACTCAATGGAGGGGGAGAAAACACCCTTGGAAAGGGAAATATCCTTGCCTGAACTGTATGAATATTTTTTCAATGAACCAGAAGGAAACAGGAGAAAAGTCAAAGGTAAAGACAGGAAGCGAAAGAAGTTCAGCAGCTTGGACCATGCTCAGCTGCACAACGAGGATCCCGACTCGGATCCAGTCAAAGACTCCCTGGTTATCTCGGTCCCTGAGGTGTATGAACACTTCTTTCAGGACAGGCCTGGGAACAGGGCAGGCTGGAGAGGGTTTTTCTCAATCACTCCGGCCTCTGAGGTGAAGAAAGCTATGGGGGCTTTGAAGTCCCTCCTGCAAAGGCCAATGAGCCTCATCAGAGGCCAAGCCCCAGCCTCCCAGGCTCTTGTGTGGAGCGGACCTGGAGAGAAGCTCCCGCTCGTCCCGCTGGCTCCGCTGGGAAGAGGCCAAGTGCAGCCAGAAGGTTTGGACATGGCCCTTGCATTGACAGGTAAAGCGCTGCTACCCCCTGCCCGCTGCCTGACAGCCCCGGCTCGCCGCTGCGTGTGGAGATGTGCCTCTGCCTTGCGTGGTCTCCCCTGCTCCCCCCACCCCTTGGGAAGCCCGGCAGCCAGCTCTGGCCCTGCTGCAGCCATCTCCACCCCAGCCGCAGCGGCATTAAGGCCACCATACCTGTGGGAGCATTTTGGTGGGCTCCGCCAGGTGTAGTTGGCCTGAAATCACCCTGCTGGCACGTTGCCTTGCCACACAGAAGCCCTGGGCTTTAGTGGGGACCTTTGGAAGCGTGGCTAAAGCCACCACCATGGCACGCGGTGTCGCGTTGGCTCTGTCTTGTGATGCTCACGCTGTCCCTATGCCAAGCGAGTGCTGGTGGCCAGGCCCAGCAAGCTGGCTCCTGGTGCTGCAGGAGGCATGGACAGGGAATCTGGGTATATCCGGGGCATAACTTGCTTTGCTCCCCACAAACTCCAGTCCTGGGGCAGAGGTGGTCATCACAGCATGCATGCAACAGGCTGAAACTCAGCCTGGCCCAAAGTCCCTGTCCTAGTTGATCCAGTTGTCCCCCTGAATGGATATACCTTACTGTGGAGCGAATCTGTCCTTTTGCACTGTGGCCAAGAAAAACTTAGTGAAGCGGATAGCTGCATTAAACATCGCTGGTGTTATTGCAAGGTCTGGTAGAGATAGGAATCCCTCATCCCAGTGCCGTACAACTGCCTGTGGAACCACATACCTGTATTTCTGATGGGGGAATGGGAGGCAAAGCAGCAAAATCCTTCTGTACCAAAGAACTCATGCCCTTGAGATAAGGCAACGGCTGCTGAGCTGCTGTCCTATGGTTTGGGCTGCTAATTGATATGGTATGCTGTCCTATGTTGGGCTGCTAATTGATCTAATATTGCTGGGGGAAAAGGTGTGCACAAAGTGGAGCATAGCCAAGGCTTCCAGCTGAAAGAGGTGAGGAGGGCTTTAAAACACGCTAATTTGAAAAACCCCCTCCAGAGACCTCAGAGGTTACCTACACATTGACTGTTCCTGGGGGCAGGTAAGAGAAACAGGAATAACGGGAGAACAAGTCCAACCCACTAGGACAGCCAGAGTATTTATCTTAAAGTTTGTGTGATGCTTGCAGCCACAGTGCCTCACAGTTAATACTAAAACCAAGCAATGAATGAGACATCCCAAAGGGTGCCTCAAAATAGAGCTTCCAGTCTGTTTGCACAGAGGAAAAACCCCTCTGCCACGGTCGTACCTAATCAATAAGCCAGCTTTAATTAGAAGCCCGATCAAATAAACATAGGAGCAAAAATAACCTACTCTTGCAACATATCTTCGGGTTGTGCTAGACTGGAAGTCCAGCAGAAAAAGAAATGTGGGGCCCGCAGGGCTGTCTCCCTCCCTGGTCCTAGCGGGCAGCAGGAGTGAGGTGGGATTCGGAGGGATGCCGAGCGCTGGTGCTTCTCAGGGGGCTACATGTTGCACCAGAGCTGTGCGTGTCTCGGGATGTGGTCTTGCAGGAAGGGGCCTCCAGCCCCGGGGCATCGGCAGCCAGGAATTGCTCTCTCCTAAGTCTACTTCCAGCCACCCCACAGCTGGGAAGAAATGCAAGGCGGCGGTGAGGCAGTCAGAGGCGGCACGTCTGCTGCCTGTGCCTCCCAGGCCCATGGGTAGCGTTAACAAATATTTGCCTTAGGCTCTTAACGAAGTCTAAAAAACCAAGAGGGGTGAAAAATGTGCCCCTCTCCTTAGGAAATGTGCCTGATAATATACATATAAAATAAATAGCTGTGTTTGACTTGACCAATGGTGAAAAAAGGTCTTCTAGGAGCGAAAATGTGTGACAAAGATGTATTTCTCTGGGAGCGCAAGGGACTCACTGCCCCAGAGGATCGCAAAACCCCAAGCCTCGTGCTCTTCTTCTCGCAGGGAGGCCCGAGGCTCCGCTGGCGCTGACCCACAAAGACATGTGCCTCGTCTTCTGTGCCTTCGCCTCCTGGGCAGTGAAGACCTCCGACCTGCAGGCTCCGGATGCCTGGAAGACCAGTACGTATGGTGCCCAGCCTGGTGGGAGAGGGGTGGGAAGGACCTCGTGGAAGATGTGGCGGGGAGAAAGGCAGGGATGCTAACACACATAGTAGTGCCTGTGGGAAAATGCAGTCACCTTCCTGCTTTTCCAAAGTGTCCTGTTATTTTCTAATACCTTGTCTCTCCTGGCAGTCCTGATTCCTGCTCACTTATGTTGCCCTTTCCCCACACAAAGTGCCTGCTGACTTGAACTGAGCCACAGGACAAGCCTGTATCCCTAGCTTTGGCCCCGCTCCATCCAGCCTCTGGCAGGGACCAGTACCAGTGTGTCAGGGGAAGAGAGGCTTCTTTAGGGTCCGTGCTGGCTAGGAGCTGAATCAGGACCTCGAGTACGCAGGTTTATACTCCTTCATCTCAGCTGGAACAAATGCACGTATTTTTCTAACGCCCTGTAAAGGTATAATCTCTTTTCTAAATACAGCTTAGCTGAAGTCCCATCCTGGTGCAGAGTCCTGCGAGTAAACGGGGCTCTGGCAGTTCCTCTCCTCTCCAACCACAGCATTTGAATAACTGGGGGGGAGAGAGGAAGCCTGGGCAGTGTCAATTAGCTGAGCTGTGGCCCAAGGGGTGCGGGTTGCTGGATGAGCAGGGCGTGGGACAGGGAGCACAGCAGCCGTGGCCGCAGCAGCCGAGCGCAGGGTCCAGCCCATGGGCACCTGAGAGCCCCCACCGCGGGGCGAGACGCCGGGGCCAGGGCTTCCTGCTGCTTGTCCGGAGGAGGAATGTTCCCCGCTAAGGTCACACAGGAAGCTGACACCCCGGGCTGAGAATAGCTCATTAGCTAAAGTTGTTCAGCGCAACCAACACAAGGAGCTTTTGGCCTGCTCCTCCTTGCCTTCTTAGTATTAGATGGTAGATGTGGCCTCAGAGAGGGTGTGAAAAGTGAGATACGGGCCTCGTGCCCTCAGGATTGCACAACCCAGCGTGCCGTAAGCACCCCGGCGAGAAGGGGAGGCAAGAGGCAGTTTGACATCCGGGACTAGCAATTCTCTTTTGGCATTTTAGGTTCTAACAAGTTGAATTTCCCTGTCTATGTCCCAGGCTCTAATACATAAAATCAAGTCTGCATTTAAACTGTAAAGTCCAAAGGCACAGCTTGGGTTCCCAGTTTTGCTTGGGAACAGACCGGGGGAATTTGACCTCTCTTATAAGCCAAGCTAAAAACCTTAGCTGGAAGTACAGAGAAGAGCTTGATTCTCTATGTAGTCTCCATTACCTGTTTTTTGTATTTGTACATTTTCTGATTCTGGGTTTTGGGTATTTTCTGCTTTTGGCCGAGATCAGAGTATCCACAGATAACCCACAAAATGATATTTTTCTTGGCATCTTCCTGGTCCAAACAGAAGTAGAAAATGAAAGGGCTGTCCTGAAGCCCTGGTGAGATTTCCTACTGTAGCCTTCTCACCCGAGATTAGACTCACTAGATCTCTACGTGACCCTGTATATCTAACCACCACCCATCCCTACCACACACATGAAGTCCATGTTGTGTTTCCCTTAAAACCAGACGTTTCTTGTGAAATGGTGGTGTGATCCATGTGCCCGAAGTATGGGAATAGATGTGGTCAGCCAGGCTGTGGGCAGCTGTGGGGATGAAGAGCAAAGGCAGGAGGGGTCTGAGAAAGGCAGGGGAGCCACCCCCTGCGGTCCCATGGACCAGAGTGAGCCAAGCAGTTGGTGATCTTCACGTCTGGAAAAAGATCTTCAGGTATGGAAGAAGCACCCAGACTCACTCTGGAAATGCATTGGGCTCTTTTCCAGTGTTCCTGGCAAGTTTTGGCACGCTTTCTGCCATCCGCTACTTCCGAAGGCAGGTCAGAGAAGGACACCCCCGGACCTAGGCTCGGCGCACACCAGAGGTGCTTCCCAAGGACAGGCAAGGACGGTGGAGGCAGAGGCCGGGGGCTTTGTTCTTGGGCAGTGTGAGAAGCCTGGATCCCAGCACCAAGACTTCTCTGGACCCATCCCCAAAGGGGACAGGATGTCACAGGAAGCAGGATCCTTCCGGTGACCATCATTTACAGTACGGTACGCACTTTGTACCTGCACTGGACAGAAGAGCAGCCCGGTGTGGGCTGGCTCTGCTCTTTCTTTGCACACTTCTTGCCTACTTGTGCTGTCTCCTAGGAGTAGTCACAGTGTCTGTTCCAGGGCGCTGCTTGTCCGTCCTCCCTGTTGAAGTCACCTGGTGGCAAAGGAAGGCACTGAGGTCAGTGGAGGGAGGAGAGAGCAAAAGAAACCAGGGAAGTGCTTCGTTCCTATGAAAGGGTTGGGGTATCTATGAAGGAAGAGAGGAGAGAGCTTTGGGGAAGAGCTGTCTCTGTCCAAACATGGTGCTTTGCTAAGCATGTGCTGGCTGCATGCGGCTAGCTGGGCAGCAGCTAAAGGGGGATGGAGGGGCCACTCACTTGGCAAGGTCCAGGTCTCCCATGACCAGCTTGGCTCACTGCAGGAGGACTCATCCTCTTGGATTTCACTCCAAGAAGTCACGGCTCGGTCCAACAGTTCAGGAGGCTGAGATAGGGTTTCTGTTGCATGTGGCTGCCTTAGCCCTGCTGAGCCAGAGCTGCGGATGTGTCTGTCCCTGCAGGTGAGGAGCACTCGCTGCAAGGACAGATCTCACTCCCATCAGCAGAGGATGGGCAGGTGTCATTCAGCCAGAGCCAGGGGAAGGAGCAGCTGGGAAGAGCTCTGAAGGAGGCTGTGCGGGACAGAAAGGGGCTGCAGGGAAAGGAGCTGAGCTCAGGGAAGCCTCAGGAAAGAGCCCCGACAAGGACAGGAGCATATTGGAGAAGAGGAAAAGGCACATGTACATGTTTGGCTCTGACAGTCACCAGATGAAGGGTCTAGGTACGTCACTTGGTCCCTCCGCTGCCTCCCATCCTTAGAGTTGTAGGGATGGGAGGAGATGCTGAGTGAGGGGGTGCCATGGCTGGGTGTGTAACCTTGTGGGGCTGGTGGGGACCCGGAATGGAAGGTGGGGTGAAAAATGGAAAGGAAGTGGTTCAGGTTCTTCCCTGTCTCTAGTGCCTTCCTGATCACTCAAGGGCATTATTCAGGAGGGGTTTTCTTCGCTCCCAGGTCTGATAACAGTAGAATGTGAGATTTGTTAAGCGCTTAGGGACCAGATCCACAAAGGTACGGGGGGAAATCTGCCCAGAATAAGTGTGGGTCTGCCTTTGAGCTTTATAGGAACAGTCTGTGGCAATGTTTGTCTTACGAAACGAGAAAGAAGAGGTTTAGCTCCTCCCTTGTAATGCAGAGTGCCATGCAATTTTAACGTGTGTGGGGTTGGTACTTAAGACCATGTATTATTGCTGGTAAGAGAGCACACTGTACAATTGTACAGTGAGATATGTAGCAGTAAATAGCAAGAGAGAGAGATGCACAGGCTCTATATGGACTATAGTAGCTGTATATCCCGTAAGAGGAGTTTTGTGGAGGAGGAGAACAGATAAAATATGCTGGAAGCTTCTAATAAAGATCTATCTCATTTAATACCTTTGTGTAGATTCCTGTTCTACATTGTTTGTGCGTGAAACTGTTGAATGAGTACTGGGGTTTGAAGAATGAGAAATCAATCCATGATGTGTCTGTTGATGGAAAAATGTAGGAGTTGATGTGCTGGTTGGGGAGCTCTGGAGGACAGAGTATGCAGGGAGGCGGGCTGCTTCTCCTCTTCTTTGGCTCAGTCCCCATGCCTACCCCTCTGAGACACATCTTGGCTGTCTTGTGTCGCTAACAACTGGATCCAGAGATCCCTGCCCTTTCTCCCGTCTCAGAAGCACTCAGGACTCGAGCAGGGTCCTGCTCTTGCCAGCCCTCCCGCCGGCTCCTCCTGGGGGCCCCTGAACAGGTCAGCGAGCACAAGTCAATGCACAGCAGCAGCTCCCGGGTTTGGTCCATCGATCCTCATGGCCTCTGCCCTCCCCAGTCCCCCTTGATGCAGCCAGGCTCTCGGCTCTGAGCTTCACCCAGGAACGCCCGGCACTGCACCCTCAGCCCCCGAAAGCTTTGCCCAGCAGACCTTGCTCCCTCCAAGGAGCAGGAGCACGGCAGGCAGAGGGGAGGCCAAAGTGTTTGCATATGCTCAGTTTTACTGTTTATCCAGCCATAATCCATTAAGCGCTCTCCGTGGCAGGTGGAAATACAGCAGCCTTGGCATGACGGGTGTGTAACGGGGGAACCCGCTGGAGGAATCGGGCAATTTACTTATGCAGGGCTTTCCTGGGAGACACGGAGCTGAGCAAAGCAGAGAAAGGGCAGAGGAGGGCAGCAGACAGGTTTGCTGAAAGGAAGGGGCCTCGGGGACCTCCAGCTCCCATCTCAGGGGGCTCTGGCCCTTCCTGCCTAGCTCCTCATGCAGAGTGAACTCCCTGGGGTAAGGGACATGGCTAAATCCCTGCTGGCTTCTTGCTTGGTTGGAATTTTTTGGATTTTGTATTTTCTAGCCTCGTCACACAAATCTGGAGGAAGTGTTTTCCCTTCCCTTTGCAGGTGCAGGAACAGGTCATTTCCCTCCCAGCCCGCAGTACTCCCAGGTGCAGTGCTGGCAGTTAATAACAATTGTGCTAAAAGTCACTGAATTTAATACTGGACAAAATGCTTGGGAAAGCTGTTCTGGTTTGTCTCAGTGTCTCAGGGATTGCAAAGTTGGCCTGAAGATCTCACTGGAACTGGAAGGGTTTCTAGCCAGAAACCATAATGTGGAAGACACTTTCGATGACATGAGCCCCTCCAGGGAGGCTGGGATGGGGCAGGGCTCTGTGCTGGGGTGCGGGGGGTCTGCATGGACCCATGTCAGCCGGATCCTTTCTAAGCAATACCCTTGCTTTGGGGACCTCATCTTCCCTGGGGAAGCGGTTTTGTTCGCCGCCAGTCCCCACGAGGCACAGATGCAGATGTTTGCTGCAATGGGGGGCACTGCCAGTTCAACTCGCTGCTTGGGCGCCTCGGGAGGGATGAGGGAGCTCAGGCAGTTGAGGCTGGCCTGAGAACTTCACTGTGAATGTATAGCTGCTAAATCACTGCTGGGAAGAGACTTGTGTGTCCTCTCCTGCCGCTGTTGCTTGAAGGCTCCGTGCGTGGCTTTGCAGGAAGCCGACGTATTCTGCTGCTCGTGGACAGTCAGGCTGCAGTCGGGGACTACCGTCGGTTTTCCTGAACGGCACCGGGCAGGCGTGGTGCTGACGGGAGGCTGCAGGAAAGCTGCTGGGCAAACAACTAGGTTAGGAGTGGGTTTTGTGCAAGTAGCAATACCAAGTACGATCCAGACAGGGATCGGACCTAGGTGTTGCAAGAAGTGGGAATGGTAGGTAATGTTCTGCGGTCCCAGTGGCCCCAGTCCATGGATGAGCCATGTGCAGCTGAAATGCAGCACCGAGGGTGGGACAAGCAACCTCCTGGCTGTCCCCGGCCTGCTGGGAAAGGCACGGTGGCACCGAGCGCCTGTTTTTCCACTCCAAGGGACGCAGGGTGCATCTCACTCCCTCAGCGCCTCTATCCTAGCGTTCCAAAACTCGTGCTAAGTTTCTTTCCAGGCGAGTTCAGCGCTCATGTTGTGCTGTAGATAACACGAGGTGCCTGTCACCTCTACCGGCGAGTGCCCTTTGCCTGCCTGTGATAATTGGTGTCTGATCCTTTAGAGCTTGGGCTTGGAGATGCAGATGTGACCTGGCACCTCCTCCTGCTAAAAGTCACTGAAGGTGCTGGATGATCCATCAGGGTATAGGTGCATTTCACACACGTTTTGATCTCTGCGGGAAGAAGCGGATGCAGTAAATATTTCAGAAAATAGCTGCCCCGCTGCAGAAGTGAAAGGAAATATTCAAAGGTCTTGTTGGTATCAGGAGATCAGCTCTGGGAGTGTCTACGGTGCTCAGTCAAGCAGCAGTGTCTCTAGTGTCCTTCAAGGAAGCCAGCCTGGACTTGCCTGCAATTTTAATGCTTAGTTTATTCGCCGACCTTTTAAGCTCTCTCCTCTCCCTCCACGGCGAGGTCATCTCACCCCGGAGGGAGGAGCCGGCAGCTCGCCATCTTTTGCAATAGCAGCAGCCACCACAATAGAAACGACCTTTTCAGTGCATCCTTGCTGCCGTGAGACTGTTTTCCCTTCACCGAAAAGCGTGTCAGGGCTGGGGGCGGGAGCCGTGCCATCCCAGCCCGCTTCCTCGCCTTGCACGTAGCTCCCACATCTGACACCTTGTCTTGCCAAACAGATGAAAAAGTCAGGCAGGTGCACCCTCAAGAACTGCCTCCCTATTTCATCGGGCCTGGATACATCATGTGCCACCCAGCCCTGGTGGGACAGGGCTGCATCTCTCCTCCCCCTCTCCTGCCGCAAGCAGTTTTGCCGGAGCAGCCCCTTCGCTCTTCTTTTCGCTTCATCTCTCTGCAATAAAACCAGAGCAAAGCTCGCCGTGGACATT